GCCCTTCACTGTCTTTAAAGGTGCATTCCTCGATGAGGTCATCAAAGAAGCCCACCTCTTGAATAATGTTGCAGAGTTGCAATGCACAGATGTGACCACTTTGGCAACTCAAAAGGGCGCTATGGCTTCACTATGGATTTTACTTTATGCGCTAGACGCTTTGAAAGTCTGTGGCAGCCACCGATGCTCTATTTTGGTCTCGTTTCCCGCTATGCTTTCTCATCTCCGTCTGTTCTTCTCTCGCCTCCGCGCCAGTTCTTCTTGGACTGCAGAGTCCTATCGCGCAGGTGAAGACTCCTATATGAGCCGTTTGCACCTTATTCTTCTCTTTTCCTACTCCAGCCGAGACAATTGGCGCCTTCTCTTCAGTTGGACCCCATATTTACTCCGTTTTTGTTTTTGCAGAGGGGGGGGGGGTTGATGCTGAGTATTGGATTCCATGAGTTCTACAGTAGCAGAGTTAGGGAGCATTTTGAATGTGTGATCCGAAATAGCTTATTCTCGCTTGCTAAGAAGCCCTGAATTTGACTTCTATGGAGCCAGAATCGTGCGAACTAGCGAAATGGTTTGAGGCCTTAGCTCGGCCAAGAATCGCTCCATGTCTCTTAGCCTTTTTCGCAGCGCAGAGCAAAGAGCTTCCAACTTTTGCGTTTGGCGATTTCTTTTCCTTTCTTTGCACTTGCTGTCCAACCTGCAACCCCACTTCTATGTCCGAGTGAGCTTACGGCATCATTCTGATTCTGCCCGCTCGCCTTCGAGAAATACCGAGAATGACAGTTTACTAGATATGGCTACAACCTACGATCAAGCCTTCTGGAACACCTTCATCGCGAAACTGTAGACCAAGAATTACACTCCAGCAGTGGAGAGAGAGAACCAAGAGCTCGATCGTCCCTCAAAATGAACTGTATAATGTCTCGGGAAACACCCACTATCTCTATTCAAATCGCAGATATTTCGCGTTCCATTCATATACTGTTTTAGAGGTCTTTTTTACAACCATAGGAAGCAATTGAGGTTATTCGGAACTTTTTCCGGTGTTCAAAACATCATTGTGAACCGGTTCGCGCGATGTGTCACCTTGTGCAATTAACCTCATTGCTGTCTTTTCCCAGCTGATAACCTTTCAGAAGAACAGTTTTCGGTATTTTCCTTTAGGTTAACAAAAACCCTTGTAAGGGGCCTTAGGCGTGGAAGAAGGAACGTCCTTCGGGCTAACATCCTCTTATGGAGTGGGATTTAGTTGTAGTAGTTGGGGGGGGGGGCAGTGCTTTCATCTGTGCCTCGCTTGTCTCCTTCCTCTTTCGCCTCATTGTGCCTACTTCCTTGTCATGATGCTCGGTATCGCCAGTGCGTACGTACACTGTCAATGTCAAAATACGAAAGAGAGCGGCTCTTTTTGAGAGGTATTCTCAAAGGATATTTCAGAAAATGATGGGAAAAACTTCTTGACAACCAAGTTCTTCGGTATTTTTCTGACTTTTTAGTGACCATAGTTTTTTTCCTGACATTTTAAAAAGCTCGAATTCGCTTATTCGACATCGCCACAGAAAAATCCTGTGGCTTAATGGTATTGAGCTTTTCGAAGTTTCTTAGTTAGATTGAACACTACAAAATTTGCATAAATCGCGTAGTTGTAAGAGAGCTTGGAAGCTGGAAGGAAATGAAAGGAAATTAAAAAAAATTAGCAGTTGAATGAAAATCATGTGAAAACTAAAAATCATAAGTGAGAGAAAATGGCACAGTGGGTGATGGGTATGCCAAGAAGTTCATTTGAGATATAATATAGAAAGTTATGGAAAATTTTTTTGGCCGCGCTTTTCAGTTTTTTTTTTCGGGCTTTTCTGTGATCATAGTTTTGTCCTAACATTTGAAAAAACTGAATTTCGCTTGAAAGACACCACTTTAGAGAAATCCTTTCTAATAGTATTAAGCTTTCCAAAGCTTTATATAATAGTTTGACAAAAAACACTGGAAAGTCTGCATAACTTGCTTTTAAGAGGGCTCTAAATTTGAAAAAAAACAGAAAAGAAATAAAAAAGACTAGCAGTTGAATAAAAATTGCGACAATTGAAAATCATAACTGAAAGAAGTTAAATGAGAACTGCCACAAATGGCTGGGTATGCCAAGAAGTGAGCGAGGTAGGAGAAGGGGAACGCCGCTACTTCATCGCCTAGAATTCATACTGAAGAGTCTTAAAGGCTGATGTTTGGTGTTCCCCTTGATCCTCTGATTTTATTAGCTCGACTCTGCCACAGCGGTTAGGCTTGTGAAGCTGAGATCTATGTAGCCATAGATCTCAGATTAGATCTATAGTTACATAGATCTCAGGTTGTGGGCATAGATCAAAAAGGGGATATTGGGAACAGAAATTTAGGGAAAAAGGGTTAAGTGGTCGTTATGATCCAACTGCTTCGGATGCGCCGAGCATTTGGCGCTCATTCGAATTATATGATCGTTCAGTGGGTATGTTCCTCAAAAAAATCTTTCTGGGACCAGCATCCTGCCAATGCTTTCATTCTGTCTGTAATTTATTGGGGACGTATGGAAAACATCGTCGGCCATCACGGGTTTCCGCGTTTCAAATTTTATGGAGCATTTCCCTGTACCTTACTGCCGCCCTTCTTGCCATGGGTCTGTACGCTACCATTTATCCAGGAGGAATGCATCTCCCTCCTTCGGTGCTATCCCAAAGATGGTGAAGAAGGGCTAAGTCACAGGACAGCCAACCTTCTACATGGTACTTTCATAAACAATTAGAGCAACTAGATCTCTCCAGAAGATGGAGTCTCCAACGGCAGAGGGTCGATATGCACCAACCGGTCTACGCTGGGTCCCACAGGGAAACCCTAAGCTGAGGGACGATAGTATGGAGGGATGGGGACACGTTCTTTTGAATTGAGTGATGGCCTTGCATTAAAGTCTTGAGGGTTTCTGGAGCAGTTCCGATCATTTTGAGATGATTGCACAACTGTATTTCCAATATGTGATATGGACCTTTACTGAAACATATCATTCCTGAATATTTGTTGGGTTCTTCCACTTCGGTAATAAAATATACAGGCTTACAAGGGGAGGGGCTGCACAGCACTTGCGGGATGACACTAAGTCGGCAGTGTTTCCATTCTCCTTTGCGAGTCACGCTCTTCGATATGTCTTTTATCAATAAGAATCTGATGTGAGCGCACAGTAAACCCCTCGGTGTAAATTGCTGTCTTCAAGTCTCTTGACAAGGCTCAAAGCTCCAAGAACCGGTGGTAGGCAACTTGACCTAAATTGAATTGTACCGTGAACGCTCCATATATTCATGTTTTTCTAGAGATTTTCTCGCCGATTTCGCCCGCCTGTCCAAAATGTTTCTCTCTCCATGATGGATTTCGTTTTCAACTCAAACGAACGCGATCGAGTCGAGTTTTCGCCCCGGTTGTCGCTCTTCATCGCTCACAGCCAAGAGTTTTCGCTCAACAAGAATTGGGCCAACCGCGCCTCCACAACTCCCGGACACTGAATTCCTGCGCAGAAGCCCCACTGTTCACCTTATCACTTTCGCCCACTTACCTGAAAAGAATCCGACTTCTCGGACTGCCACACCGCTATGCAGTCAGCTTTGACAGTAGTCCTGCTGATTATTCATGGAGCACTGGCTCGTCATCCAACTACCACCACAGGTGAGATCTTTCACAGTTGCGTTTTACTTTAGAGCTCCAGCTGAGCTGATAATATTGCCACTACCATTTTATTTATTTATTTATTTCAATGCACTCAAAGATGTACATATCGCGCTGAGGAATACACACAATAATAAGCATAAAGTGGGTAATGAAAAAGAATATTATCTTTCCCAGAGAACCAAAAGAGATAAAATGAACATGCTGTGCACGTTTAGGGAGATTGGGGGGGAAGGGGGTGGGGGGTTTCAGCGACGTTTTGCCCGTTTTCCTTAGTGTAAAGTACAGACGATGATCTGAGGCCGGAGAGACTTAGACGAGAAAATCCTTTTTTTTGTCAACAATCAGATGGAATTGGTCGTGGAGTAAGCTAGCTACACAAGTAATAGCTCTGTACACTTTAACCAACCTTTGGGAAAGTTAAGTTCCGCTGGCGGTGAGCAACTCTTGCAACAGTAGGAAACAACTCTAGATCGTATGTAGTTGTGATTTTTACTTTTGCCCCGAAGACGTTATGTGGTGAATTTTCATTCTGGCGAACGTTTAGACTTGTTTGTCGTTTTTTCTAGTGCACAAAATTTAAAAACAAATTAAAAATAAATTTACTTATCATATAAAGTATAACTAACTTAATATGAATAAATAAAAAGTAATAAATAGCAGCTAATCGAAAACAACAATAGTGCAAATGACAACGTCTTCCTCTTCCTCAAAATGGGCAGGACTTGTACAGAGCCTAACTGTGCACTTTGTTTGCATGTGTACTGCCGGTTCTACTTCTCCATACTACTGTGCTGTCGAACACTATTCCAGAACCCGAAGCCTTCCACCTTTTCCGTTTCGAATAATTGAGACCGGGGTTGCCTGGGAGGGCTACACGCTGTCGTCAACATCGGCTGGCCCCTTCACGTCATTCTAAGGTCGCATGCATTCCTGTGACCCTACAATTTTATAGGGAGTAGAATGCGTGGCGCAGGCGAGGAAAAGATTGATCAACGTCAGATGCTTTATCCTCATTCTTACTAGACCATCCTGATCCTTTGGTGCTCCTGATTTGCTAATTAATCAATGTTGATTATTTTGATTAGCAAACCTAGGTTTTTTGAAATACTTTCGAGCTCACATCTGCTCACATTCAAGACATGCTTAGGCTAGGGATCAAGTTTAGCTCTCTCGTTGATTGTGTATGCGAGCTAAGACTAGCCTCAATCATGCAAGGTGCAAGGAATCTTCGCATGTCCAACTCGGTAGTCATAATAGCTTTCTAATAAAATGTTTCAACGATTTTCCTTGGAACACGAGATCCGAACCTTCCAGCTCGAGAAAGCGATACCTCCGGCCGTCATCTTTCTGTAACTCATTTCACGCAATCGCAATTTGTGACGCAGCACGCTGCGCAGAGCTAAAAAAGCTTCCACTTTTTTGAAACCATAGAAAGGTAACTAGTTCTTGAAGGTCCTATCCACATGAGGAGCGCAGCCCTTTTTTGGGCCCTCACTATTCAAGCAGAACTGGCTTATGATTGCCACTCCTAGGTTTTATAGAGACACATCCAGCCTGGTTTCATCAAAAAAGTAGTGTGGTATGGACTCCGTGGAGAACTTTTTAATGGATTACACAACGTGGAACCCTCCTCCGAGAGCCGAGAGCTCCGGGTTGGAATTTCAACCAAAGAGATCCTTGCAACCCAATCAAAAAATGTTTCTTCACTCAGAATTTCATAGGAAGCGTGATTTCATTTGGATCTCAGTGGAAATATTCTGATAGTTGTTTTTTGACGGTTGTTTATGTTTATTGTTAGCTCGTTAATTCGAAATCTATTGACATTGCTACGTCAAACAAACTCGCCCACCTGAAATAATCCCCTCGACTTTGCTCCCGTGACTCGTCTTAATCAAACATCATCCCGATCACTTTTTGGTCGAGGGAGCAACCCACCGCGCACCACAGGCGGACCTTTTTTCTCCATAAGGGACATGAAAGAGCTATTGAAAAATATTTATTAAAAGATGGAGCATCAACAAATGATCACCCTCCGACAAGAAAAAGCCCCACCGTGCACACCTTTCCGGATAGCAGTTTTTCAATATCACTTCCCGCAATTTTTTCAAAGTGCTCTGACTTTTGCTTTTCTGGGTTGCTCACTTAATTATAAGGACAATATTCTATTCGCAGTAGGCAGTTAAGCACAGTGATGCGTTGGTCGTGAAGTGGCCATTTGAGGCATGAAAGTTGCAGCATATACGATGGATACATGAATTACATAATTAAAGTAAAGAAGCTTAAGTCTTCGACGTTGATTATTCCATTTTTGGAATAAGCCACGCATTCTAACCCCAGTCAGAAGTGTGTGCCTCTTTGCATTTGGATTCGTGTATGCGAATGACTTAGGGAGGCCAGCCACAAGTCATTTTTTCAGACATCCTAGTACAAAGCTTGGAACCGAGTTATCACTCTGGTCGAGGATTGGATAGGGACTTCAGCTAACTTTCTTTCTTAACTTTTTTTTTAGGCCTTTCGAAGAACCGCTGACCGTGCGCCAATGCGCCGTGGTAAGATGGACAACTAATCACTAGACCAGTTCCGCCTTATCACCTGATTATCAGTGGTATTTAGGCTTCTCTCAAAAATCTGAAGTTTTCTAAAACAAAACGAATTGATTGCGGCGCACCCATGCGGATACAGGCGGAAGGTGACTGAAAGTGCAGCGTCGTCTAAAGAGGAGTGATAAGCAGTGGATGAGCATTAATTCTCCTTCCTTGGCTGTTTCGCTTTCGGACCGTTGAAAACTGTAATGGATAGCGAATCAGGCGTGACAAGTGTGAAAGAAGTTTCGTGAAAATTGCTGACGTGAAGATGAAGATCGCAAATGAATTGCACTTTCATTGCCTCTCAGCGCTCCACTTTCACTCTTCAAGGAGGGGATAAAAAAAGCAACTTTCAACTGGTCACTGACAGGAAGCCGAGAAACTAGCCTCAGTGCTTGCTTTAAATAAGTTCTTAGACAATTTGTGAAGACCAGGGAAATATGTATAGCTGAGGGATTAAACCAGTGGGATAATGCGCTCGGTGAGCACGATGGAGCTAATCGCAAAGGTCACCGATACGCCGTTCACGCGCTTCGGAAGCGAACAGTAGGGCCTTAGGCCTTTCCAATAGTCGCGATGAGTGATCCTTAGTGGCTCACCTATCGCTCGCTACGCAGCAGTCGTGTGCTGTCTCTCTCGCTCTGCAATAAGCTCTTTCGTGCATCCTCCTTTCTCTGAGCGCTGTGTCTTTTTGACATTATATGGTCATCCTTACAGGAGGCTTAGGCCAGTAGTTCAAGTGTTTCCGGAATCCCCTTGGTATTCCCTTTTCTATCAGTTCTTTCCGCAACTCCGCGCCTTCACAACTGAGCTCTGATCCTCGCAGACTTTATGCAGAGGCATCTCTTCGAGTGCCGTTAGTTTTACGTCTTCTGAATTACATAGATTTGCATAATATGAAGAAATAATTATTATTTTCTTGAATCAGCCGACTAGAAACAATGCCATGAAAGTAAAGAGGTAGTGCATGCCTGGAATCACTTCGAATACATACCTACACTTTCTGTTTAGAGCTACGCAGTTACATATGTCAGACGAACGATTGTCGGTTGGAATTCGAGGGAAGTCGCGACGAATGGGTCGCCATCAATGATAATGGATGTTATTTGGTACGTGAGAATATGATGTTTGCTTTGAGAAAACCACTTCCGAGCCATTTTATTGGACCGTTAATCAGCTGCTATCGGGTTTGATCGAAGTTGTCCCATTTCGTTTGAGAAATCGGAATGGTCATCAGGAATGGAACACAAACTGAGATACATCAGCAACTTATTCCCAGAAGTCTTCTCTTAATCTTGGCATGAAAGTTAATGTGAAGGGTTTAGTTGTAGCCTGTCCAAGATTACTGTACTTTCTGTTAGGCTTGTTTCAGTCTCTCCAAAGTCATTCTGAATGTGGCTAATGCTGGTTTTCAGGAGTACGAGGCTGACCTCGAGGAAACCGTGGAGTTCTGTCCGTTGCAATGTAACACAGCCACATCTGCTGTCGTTATTGAACAGGTAGGCGATTTTTTCAAGCTCCTCTCCATACTGGGGAATGAAACCGCTAGTATGCCTTGTGTCACTGTGTCGTTACACAAGTATGCTGGGTTGTGAACAAAACTTTCGCCAGCCTGGGCGAAAGTTTTGTTCACAACCCAGCATACTTGTGAAACATTCGCAAGGCGAACTGCGGCCAAAAACAGCAGTTAACAAACAAAAACTGTGTCGTTATGCATTCATACATGGCCCATGAGGCGCTCATGTGTCCGGGGTAGACATTGGAAACTAGAAATTAGAAACAGCTCAAATCACAATCAGAATGCAAGTTTTGAACTACACAACGACTTATAGTTGGCTACATACAAAACTCAGTGACTCCCTTTCCCTTGTGGCTCTGGAACCGTAGGAGCGTTGCAGAGATTGGAAACAGCTGCCTTAGAAAGTTCGGACCTGGGACTGAATTCACGGGCGAGCGTCCATGTCGCTTAGGCCGGTGTCAGAGTCCGCGATCCGTCGCAGGTTTCGCGCGATTTTCGCGATTTGCGCGATTCACGCGACGGGTCACGGAAATCACAAGTGCCCGATCAATACTGCAAGGTGTTCTCCAATCCTGCCGCCACTTCTGCTTGATAGTGATGGCTGAATGACGACTGCTCATGATTCCACTTGTTTCATATTCAGTGTTTCAAATGTTCAATGGGCACTTGCAATTTTTGCGATCCGCGCGAATCGCGTAAATCGCTTGAATCAGCGCGAATCG